GAGCCTGAGCCTTAGTTTCCTTACCTATAAAATAAGGTTAATACTTAATACACAGAGATGTCACAAGGAAAATGCTAACCACATGGTAAATACACAACAGAGCTTTAATTTCCTTGCCTGTAAAATGTGGAACCTGGATTTGTTGTCTATGATTCTTTCTGGAGTTATAATATTGTGATTCCCTCTTTTTATATTCGCAGAAAAAGGTTGCTAAATGAACTTAAATGTCTTCATTTGTCTTCAGGTAGTTATTTCTTTTTATTTCCTGAATGACCAGGAAGCCAAAAACATGTGAGCAGTGCCTCTGGAATGTCTGGGCCACTCCACCCTGGGCACCTGGGAAATGACAGGGTATTTCCACTCATTAGAAACTCCCTGATGAAGAGAGCTTTCCTTAGTGGGCAGAGGATCTAATTCAGTTGTAATAAGCCAGTGTGTGCCATTAAAAATGTTATATACTCTCAATTTTGGGCTTTGAGTACTCCCAGCTTTCTCTTAATTGGTTTGCTTACCTATATTTGCAATCCAGATACTCTGCTGAAACAGTTACGCAAGTGTTCCATAATTTATTATATCCCATGTGTATGTCATTGGTTAAAGTCCAATTAGATCATTATCAATTAGAGAGGGATGCATATTAGTTGAGTTTACAGAGTTGTCTCCTACACATTAGAAATGCTAATAATTGCCCGTCTTTGATGGTACTAGGATGATAATTTTACAAGTCTCTTTTTGCTTTCAGAAGATTGAAAAGTGGCTTGGATCATAGCAGTGGCAATACTCATCAGACTATAAAAAGGCAAAAACTTAAAAAGGGAGAGAACTACAAAATCAGGAAACATTGCCATCCCCAATTTCTCAAAACATGACATGCTTTTTATTTAATAAAAATTGTGTGTGGATACAGAATCATAGAGCGGAACACCCACATGACTTAGAATTCAAAGTATCTCATGTATGAGATTTCTTACATTAAGCCTTTTCTGTGCCTGCTGAATACCAGTGGGTGAAGAACGCCTTCAATGCCATTTTGGCATTTCTAGCACCCTGCGTGGCTTGGTAAGATTCTTTATCCTGACATGTTACAGTAGTCCCAGCTTTTCTTGTAGAAGAAAGTCCATTCTGCTTAACATTAATTTTAAGAGATATTATAGTAGAACTGAATATAAACAGACTTTTTTTGTTTCCATATGTATGATTAAGTTTCTCTATATACAAACTAGAGATAAAACAACTTGATCCTTACTACAGGGAAGGCTGAGGGAATTCTTTTTGTGAGCAATAATGATAAATATTAACATTTTCTGAGTGTCTACTATTTCTCAGCCATCATGGTTGGCATTTTGTATTCCACTATTTTATTTAATCCTAAGAAGACTCTGTAAGGTATTACCTACTTTTGTCCTTCCACCCCACCCCCCACCCCGGCCTTTTTTTATAAAAAAAGAAAAGTCTAGTCAAATGCAGTAGATATATGCTTTTTTTCAAATAAGGAAGCTGAAATTTACCGAAGCTAATAATTTACCATTTAAGTATGCCATGTCTGATTCCAACACCTTGATTTTCATTACTTCTCTTTGACCTTCTAGGAGGAAGATGGAAATGTTCTGAAGTCTGGTGCATTGCCTACAAGTCCTTCAGCAACTGAAACCACACTTGTGTCACTCTTCCTCCTCCTGCTTTCCCTTATCTCTTACGCTCTGGTGATACAAGCCTACTTGCAGTTCCCTTAAAGTCCTGTTCTCTCAAGTCTCTGGACTTTTGTTGGGATTGTTCTTTGGCTTAAAATTTCTTTATCCCAATAGCATCAGACTAGCTGGCCTACTCTTTTTAAGTTTCAGTTTAAACTACTCTGCCATGCTTCCATTACTCTTGACATACTCCATTACAGTAAGGATCTTTCTGTGTCATCACCTAAATTGAGCAACTTGAGGGAGTCCTTTTGTTTCTTCATTATCGTATTTCCAGGACCTTTCAAAATATCTATTTTGCAGTAGATGTTCTATCAAATATTTATATAATGAATGTATGAAAGAATGCATAAATGACTTGCTATTCATGCAGAAAAACTCATTAGGGATCTGAGGAGGGTCCTATCTTATTTTATTCCATAGCAGCCTACAAGTTACCAGAAGTGGAAACTTTTCATCCTCTCATAAGAAAGCTTTCCAACATATCCTTATTTTGAATAGCATACCTGGAACACAGTAGTAGCTTGACACATATTTGTTGAATTGATGAAGAGCCTGAGAAACGAATATAACGTCTTGATAATATAATGCCTCTTCTTTCCAGACTCACTTTGTGCCCTGCCTACTTTATCCTCTAATAATGAGTAACAGTATGTAATTTTCATTCATGCACCAAATACTTATTTATCCACTATTACGTGCCGGCACATTGGTGCACTGTTTCAAGTAGGCTCGTTCCTTTCCTTGCTATCCGTGTTCGTGGAAATTCATGAAACCATTCAGCGAATACCATATTTATTGTGGTTTTCTTATCTTCCTTCATTCAGTTCAGTCACTTCTCCCAGACCATCCCTGACCCCTTAGGCAGCTAGTGCCTGCCTCTATCTTAGCCCTGATTACATCAATTTTATGTTTGTCACTCTCTACCCCCATCTCTAACCCACAATACCATTATGCTCTCAGAAGGCAGGAATTGAAGTTTGGTTCACTTATGTGCCCCCAGGGCCCAGCAAAAACCTAGGACACAGCCAAACTGTCTATATATAAGTATTGAAATGAATAATTGCTACTCTTTTTTTTTTTGGAGAGACAGAGTTTCACTCTTGTTGCCCAGGCTGGACTGCAATGGCAGGATGTTCGCTCACTGCAACCTCCGCCTCCCAGGTTCAAGCGATTCTCCTGCCTCAGCCTCCCGAGTAGCTGGGATTACAGGCATGCGCCACCACACTCGGCTAATTACGTATTTTTAGTAGAGACGGGGTTTCTCCATGTTGGTCAGGATGGTCTCGAACTCCCAACCTCAAGTGATCCACCTGCCTCAGCCCCCCAAAGTGCTGGGATTACAGGCGTGAGCCACCGCGCCCGGCGTAATTGCTACTCTTTATTGAACAACATGGATTAACACTTTGAAGTCTCACCACACTACGTGAATTAACTATTATTAACATGTCATCCATGAGAAAAAAGAGGCTTGAAAAAGTTTAGAAACTTGCTTAAGGTCACACTGCGGTGGAGCCTGTTATTGCAGGAATCTGAAGAATGAAGTCACCTTTGAATCGAAATGAGTAAGACTCCTTCTCACTATTTTTTCTTGAGTTTTCATTTAGCTCTTGCAAAATCTTTGTTCTTTAGACCAATGACTCCTCATCTTGATATTGTAAGTGGGGGAAATACCCTCTTTCTTCACTTTGAAAATTGTTCAATCTCTCTTTGGAAGAAACATGATTTTAAACTTTCTGAACGCTCCTTCTGTCGAAAAATCCGCGCGGGAGTCCTGGGGCACATTTATAGGTTCAGTGAGGACTGTCATTCGAAACGGAATGCGGGAACTAAGATTTTTTTGTTTTTCCGGGAAGAAAACACAACGAGTTTAGCAGAGGGGAGGATGGTCCTTCTGTTAGGTGCACAAATCCTAAGACTTGAGGGAATTTGACTGCTCACACTTAAGACAACTGCGGGTGACTGTGTTGCCCACAGCTAAGATGGCTGCTAATGACCATCCCCTTTGGCTGGGTCTATTCTTTTGCTCACTAGTATTTTCATCGAGAATTAAAGAGAATAAAATTTAGTAAAAGTTGGCACCTCCTTGCTAAGTAGATAAAATAAGAAAGTGGTACTGTTTGTTTAGAAAACCTTCTACCGCGCAAATTGTTCTTTCCCTTAACCAAAATGGTCGTTAAGGTTGTCCCGAGGTTTGAAGCTTCCAGCCCTTAACTAAGATGGCGCCTGGAGGCCTGTTAAAAATTAGCTTGCCCTTTTTTCTGCCCTCTACCAACACGGCTTCCGTGGCTTCGTTCACGTGACATTCCTGGACTACGGCGCGGGAGAAGGGGTAGGAGGGCCCTTGAAGGGTGCGCGTTCCCGTGGCGGTGCACCGGGTAGGTTTCAGTCAGAGTCACTATGGCGGCCGGCGCTGGCAAGGTAAGCTGAGGCGGCGGTGGCGGCTAAGGAGGTAGCACCCGTCGTGGCGTCCTGGCTCCAAATCTTCGCAGCCTCCTTGCGGAGAGGTCGGCGGAGGTCGTGTCTAGCGGTGGGGGCTGGCGGGGATCTGGCTGGAGGAGCCGAGGGCTGAGGCTGGCGGGCTGAGGCGCCTGACGGCCGTTTGTTTTGATGTTTTCCCCACCAGGTCGGAAAGTTTCCTGCCTCGTCGGGCGCAGCTTGAGCTTGCCCCATCGGCCGCGATCGGTGGAGGCTGCGGCGGACCCAGCCCGGGGCCTCCAGGCCTCTCCCCAACCTCCGGGCCAGTCTCCCTCCCCCACCTTCTCGTCCGCCGGGAGCTGCGGCTGCCGTCCCTGAGATGCGACCCTCGCGGGGGCGACCCTGAGGGGAGGCGGCCCATGTGCTGAGCGGCGGACAGGAGCCCAGGCGTCCGGGGACCAACTTCCTGCCGCCTGGGAACCCGCGCCTCCCGGTGTCGCGCCTCGCTCGGTCAGCACCGGCCTGCGGAGCCGGGTCCCCGCCCTGGTCGCGGGGACGCTCACCAGGTGCCCGGGAGTCCCGACTCGGCTACTGCCCGCGCCCTGCCGGCCTCCACGCCTCGCGCGGAGGACCTCAGCCACCGCCGCCTCGGATCGTGCCAGGCCGGGGACCGCGTCCCCCTTCCCGGGGCGGCCTCCGCGCAGCAGGGGCGATGCAGACTGTCCCGCCGGCCGTCTAGAGCCTCTACACTGCGGGCAAGGACGGGCGGTGACTGCCCAGAGGTGCCCGGCCACACCTTCCTTCGGCCCAAAAGGACTTTCCTGGCCGCGCCGAACCGACCCTTCCTTCATGCTGCAGTGCTGCAACGTTTCCGCCACCGAGGGGGAAAAGCGTCCGCGATCTCAAACCAAACACAAGAATTGGCGTGTGACTCATCTGCTTGGATACCTCCAGTCCCCAAACTGTGTTCCAGGAGTTTTCTTGGCGGAAGCTGCCCGATGTTTGAGCCTTTTCTTCCCAGAGAAGAAGATGGACTGAAAGCTGCCAGTTGGGGACTTTTTGTGATCAGGGCGCTGCTGGGTTTTAAAGGAGGTGATGGGGCTTGCGCTGGCTTGTCTTCCCACCCAAGTGAAGAGTTGATGTTCACTGGTTATGCTTAGACAATGTGCAGTTTGTGTTAATTTAAAATTTTGGGTGGGATAGGGGGATAGGCTTGTGAAGGGCAGTCCGGATCCAGAGGAACTCCTCTTTGTTCCTGGTAGGAGAGACACCCCCAGTCTATCCTCGATGCCGTCAGCCTTGGCCATCTTCACTTGCCGCCCGAACTCGCACCCGTTTCAGGAGCGTCATGTCTACCTGGACGAGCCCATCAAAATCGGCCGCTCAGTGGCCCGCTGTCGACCAGCGCAGAATAATGCCACTTTTGATTGCAAAGTGCTGTCAAGGAACCACGCTCTCGTCTGGTTTGATCACAAGACGGGCAAGGTAATGTCACCACATTGTCCAGCGGCATTGTTTAACAAACTTGTTCCCCCCGCTTTGCCCTTTCTGAGAGGCCTAATGTATGCAGGATCCCAGGGTTTGCATCCAGAGGAGGCTTTGCGCAAAGCCACGAAACAACTGTTTGTGTGCCTGGTTCTAGTGGAAATTTGATTGAGGTGGTTGAATGGAAAACAGAGAAGGTATTGTAATTAAAAGCCTCAGGAAGTCTATGGCATCTTGATAACGGGGTCATTCCCAGTGAAATACCAAACTAGATAGTGAAACTTGGCGTCTTGCTTTCAGTCTGCTTGGAAAGGTGAATTCACAGTTCAGCGCTTTATTAAGCAAGCAGGAGTTGTCAGAGCAATTCGGGGAATCTGTGGCCATTATTATCCCAGGGCTCAAGTGTCTTAGTAGTGAAATGTAGTTAACACATAGCTTTAGGTGAGTTCAGATCAGGACCTTTCTAGTAAGGACAATTGCTGGTATAAACCTAAGATTTTTGAAAGGTTTGATACATACTTGCTCTTGAAGGAATAATTTGCAATAATCAAAGCTAATTTAATTAAGCATGAACAATTGTAACTTTATATATTTTCAGAGTGTTTTTTACAAGTTGGAGAACATACACATACTGCGTTTGAAAATCACTTTTTGATGTTCCCTGCAGCACTTATTAAGTACTTAGTGCATTCTTACAGAGGTGCTATTCAAAAGTTAGTGTTAGGAAATAAACTTATTTTCTGAAATTATACCCTATTCTGTCAATTATAGCATTACTTAAATGTGATGGGATGAATTCAGTGCTTTTCATTTTAAGCGTAATCAATTTAGTATTTTTATGTTAGTATCGTAAGTTACTATACACGTATGTGCTTTTAAGAAATGAAAGAAATTAAGATCCTTTCCATTTTTAAAAACTGTTTATTTATGTTTATGGATAGTATACTAAAGAGCTCATCTTTGTGCCTAAACCTCAGGTTTTTAGCTGAGCTACTGAATCAGTTCCAACTTTAAGTTATGTAAGACTAATAGGACTGTCTCAGGTTTCACCTCCTGACTTTTTGCCCCTTCTTTCTGAGTTAAATAATTAAATCTTTCTTAAAGGAAGAACTTAAGTCTTCAAGAATATGTTTTGAAATGAAAGAAACCTGAGCCTTAAAAGGAAGAGAAAAAAATGATACTTCGGCAGCTACTGATTTAAGGAATTATTTTGTAAATTATTTTTTGAAGAAAGGAGGAAAAGATTGTCCAAGTGCTGTGTGCTGCATAATATCTATACTTTATTCTACGTGTAGGAGTGTAGGATGAGAACTGAAGAATATGTTAACTTTTCTGTATAACACCAGATTGTCATTTACCTGTGGAGCAGACCCTTCCTCCCTACCCCCAAGCTGAACGTAGGGTGCCTAATTTTTTTTGAGACAGATTTTTGCTCTTATCACCCAGGCTGGAGTGCAGTGGTGCTATCTCAGCTCACTGCAACCTCTGCCTCCCAGGTTCAAGTGATTCTCCTGCCTCAGCCTCCCAAGTAACTGGGATTACAGGTACATGCCACCACGCCCGGCTACTTTTGTATTTTTAATAGAGACAGGGTTTCACTGTGTTGGCCAGGCGGTCTCGAACTCTTGACCTCAGTTGATTCGCCTGCCTCAGCCTCCCAAAGTGCTGGGATTACAGGCGTGAGCCACCGCACCTGGCCCTCATAATTCTTTAAAATGAATATTCATAGAGCTCATTTTTCCAGGAGTTGAATTTAAATATCAGTTTACTACTAAGTAGTGCCTTAACTCAACCAGCTTTTACATTTTTGCCATTTTATGTTCTTGGGCAACAAGTCTAAACTAATTAGACAACAGGTTTGCTCACGGTACATACTCTGCAAACGCACTTTGATTAAACACTCAAAGGGAACTCTCATTTTTTGTTTTACTTATTTGAAAAATACTGATTTCATGCACAGTGCTTTCAATGGCCGTAATAAAACTCTCACAATAGGTTATTTTGAGATAACTAAGAATAGATCAATAGTGACTGTTTCATGAATTGAGATGACATGTTAATGTTTGTTCTTTTTTTTTTTTTTGAGATGGAGTCCTACTCTGTTACTCAGGCTAGAGTGCAGTGGCGCAACCTCAGCTCACTGCAATCTCTGCCTCCTGGGTTCAAGCAATTCTCGTCTCTTAGCCTCCTGGGTAGCTGGAATTACAGGCACGTACCATCATGCCCAGCTAATTTTTATATTCTTAGTAGATACTGGGTTTCACCACGTTGGCCAGGGTGGTCTTGAATGCCTGACCTCAAATGATCCACCCTCCTCGGCCTCCCAAAGTGCGGCCAACGTGCCTGGCCATGAAATTTGTTCTTCAGAAAAACTTATCTTTGAAGGGTAGATATGGCTTATTTCTACCATTTTCACTTTTTTCCCTCTTCTGCTTTATTAGCTAAAATAACACGCAGGCTATGAGACCACTACTTTAGATATAGATGTAATTATTGATTATTATACCACTTAATCTAGTTACAGCAGATACTCTGTCAGATCTTACCATGTCATTGAATTGCTTTAGGAATTAACTATTTAAAGTTTTGGTTTGGACAGATAGTAGGTTTTATTTGAGCATCTATTATGTGCCAGACACTGTGAGGGACACAGTTCCAAAGAAAACCCACAGCATGACCAAATAGTTCTTGTATGAAATGTGCATTGTCTGTAGTCCCAGCTACTCGGGATGCCGAGGCACGAGGGTTGCTTGAGCCCAGGAGTTTGAAGTTTCAGTACTGTGATTATGCCACTGCACTCCAGCTTGGGCATTAAAGCAAGACCCTGTCTCTTAAAAAAAAAAAAAAAAAAAAAGAAAGAATCCCTTCAGGCAAGGAGTTTTGCTCTTGTTGCCCAGGCTGGAGTGCAATGATGCGATCTTGACTCACTACAACCTCTCCCTCCTGGGTTCAAGTGATTCTCCTGCCTCAGCTTCCCGAGTAGCTGGGATTACAGGCATGTGCCACCACGCCTGGCTAATTTTGTATTTTTAGTAGAGACAGGGTTTCTCCATGTTGGTCAGGCTGGTCTTGAACTCCCAACCTCGGGTGATCCACCCACCTCGGCCTCCCAAAGTGCTGGGATTATAGGTATGAGCCACCGCGCCCAGCCAGGTTTTTTTTTTTTTTCCCCAAAACATCTGGGGATGATAATGGTACCTATTATTGGTTTGAGAATTGAGGTAATTATATAAATCACTTAGCACCCTGTCCCTGGCTCTTACTAAGCACCCAGTACTTACCAGAGAGGGTGTTTAGTGGGGAAGAGGGAACTATTTAGACAACACTTTGCAATTTGCTATAGTGCTATGGAGTCTTAGGAAGGTAATGAGAAATTATTTTCTTTAATGTGATAGCATATATAGAAGAAATATTTTTTTTTTTTTTTGATACGTGGCTCTGTTGCCCAAACTGGAGTGCAGTGGTGCAGTCTCGACTTATTGCAACCTATGCCTTCTGGATTCAAGGGATTCTCCTGCCTCAGCTTCTCAAGCAGCTGGGATTACAGGCATTCATCACCAGGCCCAGCTAATTTTTGTGTTTTTGGTGGAGACAGGGTTTCACCATGTTGGCCAGGCTGGTCTCAAACTCCTGACCCCAGGTGATCCACTTGCCTCGGCCTCCCAAAGTGCTAGGATTACAGGCATGAGCCACTGCGCTTGGCCAGATGAAATTTTTTAAATTGAAACTGATGCAGTTGATAACTTTGTGCAAATTGGCAGTTTACCTGGGAGGTCGAAAATTGGGGTAATATGTGCTTTGGATGACTTTCACTTTGTGATGACTGATGCATTCTGCATTGTCCATTATGGGAGGCTCTTTAAAAGTTAGAAGAAATAGGTCGGGCATGGTGGCTCATGCCTGTAATCCAGCACTTGGGGAGGCTGAGGTGGACGGATCACGAGGTTGGGAGATTGAGATCATCCTGGCTAACACGGTGAAATCCCGTCTCTATGAAAAATACAAAAAATTAGCTGGGCGTGGTGGCATGTGCCTGTAATCCCAGCTACTTGGTAAGGCTGAGGCAGGAGAATTGCTTGAACCTGGGAGGTGGAGGTTGCAGTGAGCCAAGATCGCGCCACTGCACTCCAGTCTGGGTGACAGAGCGAGACTCCTGTCTCTTATACACATCTAGATGTGTATAAGAGACAGAACTAACACTCTTGTACTAACTGTATACTGGGCCCTGTTCTAAGTGCTTTACATGTTAACTTATTTAATCCTCAAGTAACTCTTTGAGGTGCTTGTTTTTTCCACATTAACTTGTGGGGAAATTGAGGCACAGAGAGATCTTGGTCAAGTTCACAAAGCTATTAAATGGTAGAATTGAGATTTAAACTCAAGCTCATAACCACTGTGCTATTCTAAGGCTTTGTAATACTTTAGATATGATGTGAAAATCATAGACCAGGTTAACAGTAGGAATGAAATTGATTAAATGCCAGAAAAGAATAAAAGATAAGAGTATTAAATTAACTTGCACATTAGGACTTCGGCAAAGAGCAAGGTCCTATGTGAACTGAAGATTTTAGGGAAAGTTTAATGGATGAAACAGTTTCATGGAAGAATGCAATTTAAACTAGACCTTAGGACTTTTAAAAAGAGGAAGAATGGCCAGAAACAGTGGCAAATGCCTGTAATCTCAGCGACTTGGGAGGCTGAGTCTGGAAGAGTGCTTGAGGCTAGGAGTTTGAGGCTGTAGTATGCCCAAATTGCACCTGTGAAAATTCACTGCACTCCAGCCTGGGCATCATAGCAATAATTTGTCTCTAAAAAAAAAAAAAGTTCAAAAATTTGTATTTGCCAGGGGTGCATCAGGTCTGTAGCCCCACCTACTTGGGAGGATGAGACAGGAGGATCACTTAGGCCAGGAGTTCAAGGCTATAGTGCACTATGATTGCTCTAGCCTGGGTGACATAGTGAGACCCTTCTTAAAAAAAAGGAAGTGGGATTAGGGGATA